TCCTGAGCTCGGACTAGTCAGTGACAGTCTGACAGACAAAGCCACTCAAGAGGCTGTCGCCTCCTCCAACTCAGATGCACTGCTGGATCTGGAAAAGACAAACCTTAGCAACCTAGCGGCTAACACGTCCTCCCTGCAGCAGGACCCTGACCGGGTGGTCCGCTCAGTGAAGGTGGTGGGAGACACAGACAATACCATCTCTCTGAACTGGAGAGCTCCTAATGCCAAGAACACGACAGCGTTCAGTGTGCTGTATGCCGTGTTCGGAGAAAGGGACATGAGAAAGATCAACGTCAGAGCAGGGCAGAACCGTGTGACCATCGATGGCTTGGTGCCCAGGACCAAGTACATTGCCTGCGTGTGTGTGAAAGGGCTGATTCCCAAGAAAGAACAGTGTGTGATATTTTCCACTGATGAAGCAGCGAGTGCTACTGGCACCCAGAAGCTGATTAACGTGATTGTGATTACTGTGGCCTGTGTCATTGCCGTCCCGCTCACTGTCATTGTGTGCTGTGGGGCTTTGAAGAGACGCATCAAAAAGTATTGGGGAAAGAAATCAAAGGACATCCAAGATTCATATGTGACATTTGAAACGCTTTCTCCTGGCACGAAGGCCAAGGGGCTGGAAGGTGAGTATCTGAACAGACTGAACCCAGAGGAGTCCAACAGGCTGCTTTCAGCTCGCTCCAGCCTGGACTCGGAGTCCACAGCCAAGATAGAGGGACAGCCTAACGAGTACTTCTGCTGACGTCATGCTCCAGCTCTGGCTCCTGCTCCACGTCACTGCCCTCGTGCTCATTCCCCTGCACGCCCTAATCCAAAGCCCAATACTCATTCACATTCCCATCACCACCCGCATTCCAATCCGCATCCTAATCTGCATCCGCACGCCCATCACCACCCGTATGCTCATGCCGTGCAGCGTCCTGACATCAATCTCCCGCCCACACATTCCCACACCCACGCACCGTGGGATTCCCCTCCACCACTTCCCCCTCGCTGGATAGTGCCACCAACTCCACCACCACAGAGGGCCAACTTCTATCAAAGGACTTTTGCACGCTGCACAATAATGGAGATATCAGTTTAAAGAAATGATGTAGACCTTGAATACTTCATAGTTTTTGCAGATTGAATGGTTGTGCGTCCATCCATGAGTAGGTCTTGCTTTTGTGTGTATGAGAATGTTTGTATCACTAAGCCTGTAAGAGAAAAGAATCTGTCAGAGCAAACATCGTAGATTAAATTTTATGTCACTTGCACGAACCAGCAAAAAAATAACCTAACCTAACCTGCTTTAAAGGGAATGCAATGGTCAAAACCCCATTGTTTATATAATATGTGTATGTGTATGGTTTGTAAATACCGACTGGGTGATGTACACTTACATATACAGTTAATTCTGTGCCTCTGTATATATCTGTCATACGTTCAGAGAAGATATACACATAGGCATGGCTCAAGACTGGTGATTGGAGAGAAGCTGGAGCTGGAAAGAAGTACAGAAAGGACTGAATTATGACATCATGTAAATAAGGTGGAAATGATGCAAAAATGAAACGTTAAAATTTATTTTCTCCTAGCATTAAAAACATTTGTGCACCAGTTTTACGTCAGAAGCACCACCATCTAATGTAGAGCTGTGCATTCCAACCGAATCACACACATGAAAATAAACTTTTGTAGATATTTCCCAGTAGTCTGCTTTGTGTTTGTTTAACTTATCTCATCACGATGACTTTGTTCAGTTCTTAGAACCGATCTGATGAACTGGATCGCATTTCAATAGAATAAAAAATTTACTGGTTAGTTTCTTTTTTCTCCCCAGACATTTAATGTGGTAGTGAGTAGTTTCCTGTTGCTAGGGGGTAGTACGTACATTTCAAGGTAGTTTTACGCCATGTTGCAGAGACTTGCTAGTTAAACAAAACATTACAGTAAATGTTGTTACGTGTGGAGCAGAAAGCATGCAACCTCGGCGTGACTCCTCAGACTTTGATTGTCCTTCAGTTAATTCCATCGAGAGAATGCAATACTGATTGTAGTTTTCTGGTGTTGTAGTTTCCGGAGCTGCTCGGGGTCCTGCACCTGCCAACAATGTCATCATACTACGTATGGCAATGCAGCTCGGTCAAAATAGATTGGATCTCTTTTTTGATTCTGTTCTTTAGGTTTTGGAAAGAGTTCAGCTGCTTTGTTATTAAATTCATGTTTCCTACTGCCTAAATGTTTTTGAACGTGGTAACTTAATCCTGTAAGTCATACATCCAGCCAATCATCTAGTGTGATGTCATCGACAAGAGCAGGACCCCGAGCCGACCAGAAGGAAACATAGGATTTAATATGGCGCTATGAAGCTAGACCCGCACCCCATGTACTTCAGACCCAATTTTTTAGTTATATTTTACGAAGTCGTGAATATTTTTGAACAACTGGACATCGTTTTGTTCATTTTCAACAACGTTTTGATGGATATTTACAGGGATTAACGGTAAAAACTACACATTGGGTGTTTCTTAATGTCAAGGCGCCTTACCTTGCGAGGCGATGTTTTACGAGGACACTGTCCTTCCTTGGTCAAAGAAAACGGTTAAATGGAACAGACTTGCATCACGTGACCGCGGCTTCCACAGCGGTCACGTAACGTCACGTGACACGGGAGAAAACGTTACATTTTCCACGTATTAGTTTCAATATAAATATACAACGAGCTTTTAACTTTTTAAATTGTGCATATGTTTATTAAATTGAAAATATAAGCGAGTTACTACCCGCTAGCCACCGAAGCTGCAACTACTAAGCAACTAACCAACCATAGATAACTTCTTTGGATCGAGATGAAACATTTTAAATTAGCTGACTTCCTTTTAAACTTAAAAATTGTCCCTGAAGTAGCTGCCGGCTTCTGATCCGCTTTACAGTGGCGTATTGTGGGTAATTTTTGACCAAGGGTAGGCTACAAGACGCCTCCCGTGTATCCTTGCTCAGCTAGCTAAACGGCTAACAAACGGAGAACACACGCCTCGGTAGAACATGAACATTGGAACACGTCTTGGCTGCCCCCGAGGACGTAACTCCTAGGCAACCGAGGCGGGGTCAAGACATCAAGGCAAGGTTCCTTGGCATTGAGAAACACCCATTGTCTCTTTAAGATCTTGGTAACTGGATCATAATTAAATAATAAAAACAAGTGTTTTGAAATTCCTGCATGAAAATACTTACTGGCCACTTTATTTGGCTTTAATTAAGTAACTACATGTCTGAAACTCTGCATGTGAGCATCTTTTTGTGGGATTTAGATGACTTTCATGGTGGCCTAAGTTCTTTTTATATTTTACAGATGGCTGATCTACTGAGCTGCGATGGACTGGCAACCTGTCCAGGGTGTACCCCGCCTGTTTACCTGAAGACTGTTGGAGATAGGCACCAGCCCCCCCCCGCGACCCTGCGTGAATGAGCGGGTATTGAAAATGGATGGATGGATGACCTACTGGGATTTTCACACTCAACAAACTAGGGTTTAAAGTAAACGGGCTAAAACATATAAACAAACTACAAAATAAATGAAAATGATTCAACAATAATAATAAAAAAACAAATAAAAAAAAAGGTTACTGACAGTAGCGGCTGGTGAAAAGAAGTTCTTGGTGGAGCCATGTGTGAAAATATTTCCATGCTTAGTCCCTCGTCAAAATTCAAATGAACCAAATCAATCATTTATTTCCCTTCTTCAACTTTTAAGTTTTACAGTTAAGTCAATTATCTAATTTACAGATAAATTAGTCTATAATATTAATACCCAACTAATTACTCAAACCTACTTTTCTATCAGCAACAGACCAAATTGTCCTTCTGTGTCCTTCTTCATGTTTTCAGACCGAAGCAGACTTTGTGTCTCAGTTGATCATCTGCTCAGTGTCTCACCAGTCGGTGGCACAAACTCAAGATATGAATTGAAGTAGATTTGCTGTTTTGAACATAAAAATATCACATGAAATCAAAACAAATGAACACATTTTACTGCAACTGCTACAGGTGTGATTTCAGCTCTATATAGATACATCCACAATGAGTGTGTGAATGAGGGAGGAAGAAGAGGCCCAGTCCCAACACCCACGTTGCAGCCTAGGGTCCTTTCTACGAAGTGCACTTGGTAGAAGTGCATATAAGGCTTTGAGTGCAAAGTAAACAAGCATACAAATAGTTGCAGGGTCGGGACAGTGCGCATTGTCATCAATCTGCTTCACTGCGTTGTATTTCCACAACCTCTTGAATGGGGATGACGGTCACTGTTTGTGTTTATGCACTTTATGCCCTTGAAATGATATACAGACTTGTAATGCATCTTTCCAACAGAAAAGCATTTGACTGTAATCATAGATGTTGTATTGAATAAAAAGGTCAAATTTCACCATCGAATTGACACAGCATAACCTTTCATGCACCCTGGAACTGCTGGGTCAGGGTTGCACCAGCTGGAGGATCCAGATGCACAAATCAACCTTTTTCTCACTCACTGTTCTTCAACGCAGACATAAATAAACTGTCAAGGTCTCACCAGATGCAAAAGCCTTATCTCTTTTTCTTGCTTAAAGTCAGACCTCTGACTTCCTCACTCTGAATAAAAAGTGAACTTTTACAACTCATAAGTTAAAGAAACATATGTGATGAATGAATAAGATGTTTACAGTAAATGAAATGTTTGAATGACCTGTGCTTCAATCAATGAATTTGAAATGAATATTGCTCTTACAATGATCCATTGCAGATCTTATGATCAGTACGTGTTTGATTTAACAAGTTAATCATTATCTACACTCATACACATCTTCATAAGATACTAATTATGGTTAAGGTTCACCTCACATAACATTTAAAGATTCTTTATTCACATAATTAAGAAGCTTGTATCTGAAGGAAGGAGTGGCTTTCTGAGGAATGTTTTGGTAAAGCCTTCCAGACACGGCACATTCTGATTTGCCAGGAAGGGCGGAAATCATAATATTGTGGTTTATTAAAACAGGATTTACTTCCCGATTAATTCAGCTACTGTTGTGACCTGGAAACATCTCAAGACTGGACGGATCGTATCAAAGTTAATCAACTGGCTTCAGGTGCCGTGAGGTCCACGCGACTTCTGACAGTCTGGATCTGCTGGGGGTCTCTGCCAGGGTTTGTAGACACAACAGATTGTGCTTGATGCCGTTTTATTAATAATCAGCTCTCTAGTTTATAGCAGACAACAAATTATTTTACACCCAGATTTCACAATTTCTTTCAGATAGAAAGATTCTGATGAACATCTAACTTACATCACACCACCCACACATCACATTCCATCACCGTATAACCACTCCATCACATCTCATATCTTGTCATGTATAGTCATTAGTTTAGAAAAGAATAAAATTCCTTTTTAACTATATACCTGACTCTGTCTGAATTAATACAAAGTATGCATGGTCCCTGAATAAGCAAATAACCCTAGACTCTTCTGATTAAACATTTAAAGATCAATCAGGTTGATATTTCATATTTATATGCAATCATCACATCTTATTGTTCATAATTTGCAGTTATCACTCTATAAAGTGTGACCACAGTAATGTACAAAATAATAATGTATTCAATATTTCAATGCTTGAAAATGCATTTTATCAGAAAGAGCACTTGAGCCTTTTCTCTGCCTTCTTCTCATAATTCCCATGCATCAGTGGACCGTGAGTAACCCAGTTTGCCACAATCCAATGGCTTTGGCAAAGTGTGGATCAAGGGGGCAAAAGAGGCGAGGCCAAAGTCCACACTTAAGTATCGGGACACCTGCACCTTACGCACTCACACCACTGGACAGGGAACACAGAATTGAGGGACACATAGGTGGAAGTGCAAGAATTAGGGGAAAAATGTTACAGCACCTTCTAGAATAGCTAGCTAGGTAGCTAATTCCTGTAACAGGGTTGCTATTGGCCAGCTCCCCAGAGACATTACATTCAGTGATGCTGATTGGCTAATGGTTCTCCAATTTTCCCTGTTAATCTGCAGTTCAGGGGAGCCTTTTCCAGTCCCCCAGGAGTGATGTTAGTGAGTCCATTGGAGGACATTTGCTCTGAAAAGAGGGACAGTTAGTACATGCAGGCAGACACAATTAAGCAAAATGACATTTTGGTGCACATTTTAGATGTGTTTCCCCCTTCATATCAGGGAGAGCGGTGCCTGAGCACCCCCTATAGAGAAGCTACCACAGGTTAATGTGCTACTTAGGCTCCACAGCATCAACACAACGCATTGAGCTTCAGGTGGCCAATCACTGATCAGAGCCTAGATCCAATTAATAAAACCAAAACTTTATTCTTAAATGAAATGTGAAAACCAATTAGTAAACACATTTCCGCAAATGACTAACAGGATATCTTACAGTGAAAGAGTGTAAAAATTCTATGTGATTGAGCTCTGAACTTAATGAATGTTGACTTAATGGGGCTTCTAGAGACAATTGGTTCGAACAGCTAAACATTTACCTGGGATGTCATAGTCAATTATTTACAAATGCAGCTGTTAAAAGGCTCTGAGACATAAAATAATAATGTATTATTGCTGCTTCTGACTTGCCACAGTAAATAGTTCCTTGTGCACGTCTTTCCTAAGAATCAGATGTCACTTGTTCCTGCACAGCATGCCAGGGATTACACTAATAGGCTTCGGTCGTCTGCCGCGTTGGACATATCTTCAGCACGAATGTAAACCTCAAATTGAGAAATTTTTGCAGACTATGGACATAATCTTTTACTTTGTAGTTGTAACTTTGTTTTGCACTCAACCGAATGAAAGTTATGGTCACTGTTTACATGGGTGCAGCTGTGTTGATGATCGGCATGGAAGGTAAGACCCGATCGTTTATTTTTAACTCGCTTATCCGTGTCACTGATTTCAGTGTTTCTCAGACAGAGGAATGGATAAAGGTAGAAATTTGACTAATTCAGTCCTACGTAGGATCAAATTTAACGTTGCGAGTGAATTTTTTTTAACAAAAACTAACAATGTGATCATCTTTCCTTGAATAATAGATCTCTCATTTGTATGGAGGAGAGTGCCTTTGGGTCCATACCAGACAACCTCTCAGATGATTTCATCAAAATACGCATAGAAAAATCTCACTTCACTGAAATTCCCAGAGGAGCTTTCTCCAAAACACTGGCATTAGAGAATCTGTGGCTGAACTTTAACGACATCACAGTTATAAACTCAAAGGGTCTGGAGGGTTTGGGGAACTTGACTGAGCTCCGTTTGCAAGGAAATAAGCTCCGTTCAGTACCATGGACAGCGTTCGAGGACACACCATCTCTAAAGATCCTGGACCTGAAGCACAACCAACTGGACGTCCTGCCGGAATATGCCTTAAAGTTTTTGCCACATCTGACATATTTAGACTTATCCTTCAACAGGCTTACAGTCATATCAAAAGAGGTCTTCCAGAATTGGCCACTATACCAAAAACTGCAGACCTTGGAGGAACGGCAGGCCACCTTTTCCGGACCGAACGTCATCCTGGCGCTGCACGACAACGCCTGGCTGTGCGACTGCCGTCTGAAGGGCTTTGTGGAGTTCATCATCTCTCTCAGCCCACCTGTCATACTGATGAACTCCTACTTGACCTGCTCAGGGCCGGACTTTAGGACTGGCAAGTTCTTCCATGAGATTGAGCTCCAGGCGTGTGTGAAGCCCGTCGTCAGCACTTCCAATACAAACATGAGCCTGCCGCTGGGCTCTAACCTCACCCTGCAGTGCCTGGCCAAGGCGAGGCCAGAGCCCTCCGTGTGGTGGGCATATGGCCTGAAGATAATAAGAGGATTTCATGGTAAGAGTGTAACATTCATGCCGTGTCATCTACACAGCAGCCTGTAAGGCGATAAATGTGGACAAATTAGATACTTTAAGTCATATCTTAATCACAGATCCCTGTAATGCTTCTTAAATATGTCGAGAGTTACATTTGGTGCACCATAATAATAGTAATCACCACCACTCTCTCAATCTGCTCTCAATCATCATCTGAATCGTCAGAGTTCATTTAGATGATTAGAGAAGGAGAGCACAGATGTTTGCATTACGTCGGGTTGTAGGGATGCAAAGTAAAGCTCCTTTCACTTGACCTTTGGAGTGGAGATCTTTCAGCAGACTGGCTCAAAAAACCAGCTCTACTGACACTGATACAAATCGTTTACTAATATACTATTACCATCATTGCTGTTCATTCATTTTCTTATTGCCTACATATCAGAGGAGATGTCCTCCATGAGATGAGTGTAAAGGCTAGATGGCGGATGTCTTCTAACAAGTTTAAAGCATAATGTGTAGAATAATCTTTACCAAAGACAAATAGAAATATTAAATGTAATGACAGCATCCCTTCTGGGTAACTGATGAGATTTGATGTAGATCAAATCTTTCATGCATGAAATGACAACCATAAAATCAGTTTTGACTTCAATATATGACTAATAATAATAATAATAATAATAATAATAATAATAATAATAATGATTATTATTATCATTATTATCATCACTAATTCACCCATCTTCTTAACCAAAGGCATCAAATTGGCAGACACCCCATGGTCTGGTGCTGCCTATTGGAACTGGTGTAGCCACCATCTTAGATGGGTCTCCATTCACCCCCCGGTTCATGTATTTCTACTGAAGAAGGTGTTTACCCCCCCCCCCCCCCCCCCCAAAAAAAAAAAGATATTTAACATTTATCTTCCTTTTAAACTAAATCAGACACATGGTAGGGCATGACAGTTCAAATATGAATACAATTAAACAAAATAAATTAAAAATAATTTCAAAGTCATAGTTGCCCACCCTGTGTTGACTGCAGTTGGTTTGTAGCGTTAGGAACCCACCAAATATGGCGGCGATACTGTTAAGCTCTCCACTGCCCAATGGGATTATTACATATTCATGTTTATGTTCTAAACTGCTTTACCCTCATTAGGGTTGCAGGAAGCCCGGGCTTATTTTCATTCATTGAGGTGGGAGACAACCTGGACAGATCATTAGTCCATCACAGGGCCACACAAATACAAACAACCATTCACACATTATCTCACACCAAAGGACATTTCAGGGTGACCAATCAACCTGACCATGCATGTTTTTGGTCAGTAGGAAGAGACCAGCTAAAACCCAGCCATGCATGAAAAGAACACTAACTCCTTTCAGAAAGGCCACAGTCAGGATTCAAACCTGTGATCTTCTTTCTGCAAGTCTGTCCCTTTTATACGTTTGTCATGCACTGCCTGTGAGTGCCATTGTATGGAGTGATGCATTCTTTTTATTTTGTTATTTTCTTTCTGTCTAAAGTAAACTGTTTGTTATGACAACTCCTTGTTCTAAAACCAGTGAAATAGCGAGTGAAATCCCCAAACGTTAACATCTGAAGACAGGAAGAAGTTCAGAGAGAAACTTACAGTTATTTAAAATCAGTGTGATGAAAACTGTTGGTCCGATTCATCATTGTCTTGTAACAAATCTGAAACAACACTTGAATGTTTATAAAACCATCCTCTCTAAATAACAAATACCTTGTCAAAAGAATGTACCATGAGCAAAATGAGCCTCTCAAAGTTGCTGCAGGAATCCAGGCTTTCTTTGAAGTGTTCGATTTAATCTCCTGATTGCAACCGCAACCATCTCTGTCACTTTTTGCCCTCTGCTTGTTGACATTTGCCCTCTACAGGCCGTCTCACCAGGCACACAGCAAGAGTGAATCATCTGATTCGCTAAATTCTTTAAAGAGCAAGTCACCCCCTACCAGACTCTTACTCAACTCCCACTTCCTGTTTGAAAAATGCAACAAATGCTGTTGCCTAGCAGACTGAGACGGCGGAGCCGCTAACAAATACTCTCTCTCTCTCTCTCTCTCTCTCTCTCTCTCTCTCTCTCTCTCTCTCTCTCTCTCTCTCTCTCTCACACACACACACACACACACACACACACACACACACACACACACACACACACAGGCTCACAACAACACTGTGACATCATAATGTATCAGCTAGCATTCTAGGGTACCTCTTAGCCAATAGCGATGGCAGATTTAAATTAAAATGCAGTGCAGAGTTTTTACCTGGTAACGGCACAACACTGCCAGTTTTAGGCAGAACACACAATTTTAACTAAAATGCACTAAAGTGCAAAGCTATTGACTACACGTGTCTGCAGCACGAGTAGACACACATTTATATAGTTTATCAGAAAAAAGTTTATTTGGGGGTGACTTCAAATTATAGGTAAATTAAAATGTTTCTTGCCACAAACTCCCATGATGCAATGCGAGAAACATAAACACTGACATCATTTAAAAATTGCCTATTTATTCTCCGGGAAATATGAAGGCTATTCGTACAATGTACTAACTTGTACTATAGCACATGCACATTTTATTTTTCCTTTAAAAGTACAGATTTTTTATCATCTTCCCAGAGTCTCAGGAGAGAGTGGATGAAGACACCATCAGATCCCTCCTGGTGATCCCCTCCCTCAGTGCGGCCGATCGCGGCATCTACACCTGCACTGCAGTGAACTTCATAGGAAACTCCTCAGTCAGTATCCATGTGGACATCCACTCTGTTGACAGCACCCAGTCAGCCCACCACCCTGGACAACCAGCTGCTCCAGGTGCTAGAGATGAAAATGTCTTTATTGACATTCGCATCTCCAAACAAACGGTGCGTGGTATCTCCATCGAGTGGTTTGCTGCATTAGAACACCCCTCTGAAACATGGTTCACCATCCACTTTGGTCGAGCAGATGACGATAGAAGAGAAACAACCTACATCGGCCCTGGGATTCGCACTTATTCCGTCTCAGATCTGATGCCTGCAACCAAATATGAAATCTGTGTAACGCTGAAGAACCAGGCACCACATCCTGGCCAGTGCATCATGTTTGTGACAGGAAGTGATGTCACTGAGATGGAGCAGAGGGAGAAACTCATTCATATAGTGGTGATAGTTTTGGCCATGGTCCTGGCTGTGCCCATAGGCATGTACGTCTGCACAACCGACATTAAGTTTGCTTGTCTGGAGGTTCTAATGGAGACCTGGAAGAAGCGTCAGAGAGAAAGCAGCTCGCCTGCGATGGAGCATGAACGGCAGGGCACCTTCGACAGCCTGCAGGCCGCCAGCGACGAAGGGTTGGTCAATAGAGACTCCAGTGAAGACAGGAAGGTGAGGAGGAGGTCTGATGACAAACTGCATAGGGGGAAAGCTGAGCACAGCAGACTCACAGCTGAGCTTTATTAAAGTAATATTCACCGAGGGAACCTGGGAAGGAGCAATTTATAAATTAACATGTTTAGAATAATCAATCAATAAAAATATATACATCTGACACGGCTGACTTATTCTGACTTTCATTTTAAACATTTGTTTAAGCTAACACACTTAAACCTTCATTTAGATTTTCTCAAAAGTCAATAATGCAGAAAAGGACAAGGCAGCTTTATTTATATAGCACATTTCATTCACAGAAGCAATTCAAAGTGCTTGCCATGAGCGACAACAGCAACAACAAAAAAAAAACCTTAAAATAAACAACATAAAACAGCTGATTTTAAAATCAAATTTCAATTACACAAATAAATCTAGATGTAATTTAAATAAAATGATACAATTAGATGTACAAAAAATGTAATATAAAGGCAACATTAAAAGGTGAGCAGTTACAGCGCAGAAGGTGCAGCATGGGAAACATTCATTCAAAGGCTGATGAATACATGAAAGTTTTCAATTTTGATTTAAAGATGTAGGGGCACAAAAATAAACAATCAATGATGGACAAGAGTCTGCATCTAGACCTGCAGAAAAGGGACACACAACAATACAACAGGAGCAAGCTATCACTGTGTCAGCTTGATGAAGAAATGTAAAATCAACATTGTTTTACTGAACAATCACACCATAATAAATCACAGTGTATTTAGAGCCAACCACAGCCTTAAGACATGTGTTGAACGTGCCCAAGTCCATACTTATGAGAGCACCATGTGAACACCAGTGTGTGTACACGCACTTGTTTATGTAAGGGTTCTCTATAGGAGCGCCCAATAGAGAGTGTGAGGGGCCACAGATCTGCCCTCTAAAGATGTGTAGTATGTAAGTTTTTTCGAGAAAATGATCATGAGGAGCTTTGTTTCCTTGTCAGTGTTTATAATCTTGTGGCTGGTAATCAAACATAGGATAAAAATGTTCATCCTTCTGCCAGTCACACACAATTCTTCAGAACGTTAGCACATGTGTAACGTTTTGCAGTTGCATGATTTATTTGCTCTTAGAACTTTACTCATAGCATATTTTAGCTCATATGAATGTAGAACTTATAGATTAATATCTATTCAGGAAACTTCTAGTAGAATTGTATATTGATATTCAGAGGAATGGCTCCCTAACCTGTTTGTTTTAATCTCATGTCTTCCTCTGTTCTAGGCCGAGGAGGTTGTTGGAAACATGTGAATGGTGACCGTTTTGTCAGCAGTGTAATTCATGGATTTGCAATGTAGATACATTCTTCTGTTTATGATTTTCAGTCAATAGTAAAAAGTAGATTAAGTTATTATGAACCTTGAAAATGAAGAAGTTTTACTCATTTTCCTTTTGTTATTATTCCTCAAATGTTCTTAAACATATGTTGCTTACTAGATAATCAAGATGAAAAAAAGGTTTTGTTTTTAAATTGAATTCTGTTTTCATGTGTCTCTGTGCATTTTCAACCTTGACCTAGCTTTCACGCACCAGTGTGTTGATGTGTTTTTGTTCAAATAAAGATAAATTCATGAATAAAGTATGCATTAAATTATTTTATTTCATTATTTTTTTATTTTCCTTTGTATTTGTGTGGTGTTAACATTTTGAAAACCCTCAAAATTCTAGAGACTTACATTGCATTTATAAACAAAAAATGTCATTGTACTGTGAATTAACCCGAATGATTTGATAAATCTCTACAAGACAAAACGTTTTCATCTCTATGCCACCAGACATGTACGTCACTCTCTGCTTTAAAAATTATTTTTTTCCTACGTGTGCAACACAGCTACACATCAAATCTGATTTGCTTGGACCAACTGGGACAGATGGCTCATCGGATGTGCAGCAGCCAATGGCATTGTTCTTTTGACATAATACCCAAACACTGGCATCCTCTGTAATATTCCGTCCTGCTGTCACTTTATGATCAGATCACAAGCGTTCTCCTCCACTGGCGTTTGAAGTCTCTCGTGATGCAAGGAGATCAATTTACGTATGCTCATGTTTTCTGTAAGGACATGGTTTGAAACAACTGGCAGCTGACAGCAATAATGTTTATTTCATCAGACAAATGAGTTATTATCGAGGCCTCATCATGCCAAAATGAGTAAAAAAAAAATAATTATATATATATAAATAAAGACTGAAAATTTATGAACAAGTTATTCAAATAATGTAAAAATTAATAAATTGAATTATGTACTGTTTATATATATATATATATGTATATATATACATATAAACATATATTGATGTATGCATATAAATGTATATATATATATATATATATATATATATATACATTTATATGCATACATCAATATATGTTTATATGTACATATATACATATATATATATATATATATATATATATATATATATATATATATATATATATATATATAAACATGTATTGATGTATGCATATATATATAAACATATATTGATGTATGCATATACATGCATATATATATATATATATATATATATATATATATATATATATATATATATATATATATATATATGATGTTTTTATTTATGCATTTATTTTTCATTCATTCATCTAATCATTCACTAATTTATTGTTCGTTCTGAAAAGACAAGTCTTCCATGGGGTGTGCCCTGTATTAAAATAAACGTTAAAGGGAGACTGTGCAGTTTTGGCAAGCTTTTAGCACCGTTAGTGATATTTATCTCCTCGCTGTGCGTTCGTCTTTTTAACACCTTAATTTGCCCTGGGGGGTTGTGGAACCCTAAGAAGGCACTATTGAATTATAGGCCATTTACCATTTTACCATTTATCACCAACCAACCAACCAATCATCTATAGACGCCTTTAGAACCTTGAAACAAGATGGCTATAGGTCTGAATCTAAACGTGTCTTTCTGTGGGAAAGTGAAGAGAAAGTTATAAAACAGGTTGGCTTTTTGCAGATTAGATTTCAGTCTTAGTTCTACCCGCCATGGCCACACACCAAAACACATGAACATTTTGGAATTCACATACAACATTCATTTCACAGATTACACCCTCTAATCCAGAGGCACAACTTGCTCATCTTTGGTGCAAAATTGGCTAAAAACCAGAAGTTCATGTGCTCTGATCCACTTTGGACTTACAAGATGCGTGTGATCAGCCTTGGATTTCTACATCCTCACAGAGCAGAATTCCCATTGGTTTGCTAACACAGTTGATTTTCTTTTTAAAAAGACAAAAGTGCCCCAACAACCACGTTTTTATAAAACACAACTTTATTTATTCTTGCAGTGACATGAAGATATTTACTTGAATGTTTGTTTGAGGACAAAAAGTTAAAAACAGAAGATTTAAATGTTTTCTTTTATATGGAGGAGTTCATTTTCAACATCAACAGAAACAGACGCACAGTCACAAAATAAAAAAAAATATATCCAGAGTGACTTTTCACTTGAATGATAATACTTTGCTTTACATCTGTGCACTCGGATTATAGGGCGTCCTAATGTGGTTACTTTGGGTCTTTTCTCTCAGTCTGATTGTTTTATTGAGGTCAAAGGCCATAAAATATCTTGGAAGAAGCTTGGATACATCCAAAACAAACACTATTACTTGTTGACATTTAAATCACTGAAATGCCAACAAGAAATTTGGGTCAAGGAGGTCACCGAGGAGACAACGCATCTCTCAGAAAATAGAAGAAAACTCAGTAACACTTTACAATAAAGGTCCCTTTACTAACATTATTTAGTGCATTAATAAGCTTAATAAACAAAGGGTCAGTTAATTAATGTGAAGTGACCAGCCAGCACAATGTCCAGTGACAAATTGAACAGGATAATTTCTACTAATGCAACAGTATTTAACATTAGAACATCTTCAGGGCTTAGAGCAGCAGCGTGACCTGCAGAGCCAAAGTGCTGCTGCATTTAGCAAAACAAGATCAAATCCAGAATGAAGAATGATTTATGATTTTTGTCCATGTCGCGCCACTTCTGTGTTAAAATATCAAATATGCTCAAGTCATCATCAAGTCAACAGATGCAAGTTGATCCAAGTTGCAAGTCATTGATGTTCAAGTTTGAGTCAAGTCGTAAGTCTTTACTGATTTTATCAAGTCAAGTCAGAAGTCATTAAAATAATGACTCAAGTCTGACTCGAGTCAAAGTCATGTGACTGGAGTCCACACCTGTCACGGCTGCCAGCCTGAAGAGGGAAAAAGCAGCCAGGATCACCCAGCTCTGGTGATTGACTGGACACCGCCCCTCCTCCTCCTCTCTTCCAGGCTGCTGAGGAGCACAGATGAACTGAATCCTCCTGATGAGCCACACCTAGGATAAAAAGGCTGTGCCTTCAGCAGTCTGGGAGGAAGCAGTGCAGGGGTTCTGCTGTTCTCCAGGTTTCGGTTGGTTTAACGCCATCGTTGTGATGAGTTTTAACTTATAGTTTTAACTCTGAGTGATCCACATGGATCTTTTGTGCATGTCACCTAGTGTTGACTGTGTTTTAAGGTTATCTCGGATTTAGTTTTAAGACTTTTATCAACGTCGTTGTGTTTTTAAACACCTTCAGTTTAGGTAAAACTTTTAATAAAGTTTTAACCAGGTGTTTTATATAGTTGATAATTTGTCTTTTAACTGTTAACCTTATAGTGAATTTTTCATTTTGCATTATTTTAATAATGCTCGCCATCTGTTTGCTCTTGTTTTTAGAACCTTTTATCACAATTAAACCCATTTTAAACGCCACTGTCGTATTTCTTTTGTTACCCCCTCCTTCACATTTTAACATCTCCTGTCGGGGACGTAACAACACCCCTGGTAATGCATTTCAAAATATGATTAGGCAGTTGTTAAACCTTTATTAAATAGTTCATTAGTGCTTAATAATGCTCTCAGTAATGTCAAAAAAGGGTTTCCCTTATTGTGAAGTGTTATGGAAAACCCTGAACTACAAAACAAAAGCTGAATAGATGTGCTTTACGGACGTTTTTAAAAAACATGAACACTTGTTTGAATTGTTTAAATATACACACAAAAGAAAATAAAGTACACACTCAGACAGCTAGCTGTACCCTGAAATTAAACCAAAGCCTTTGCAAACACATTCACACAAAGCACATTTAACGACTGAGTTCATTTTGACCTTTTGATTCCAGTCCAAACAGCATTCCCAACACAAAATCTATAAAGTAGCTGTTTGATACTCCCAGTCCTGGTCTTTGGGTTTTGTTTCAAAAACGCTCATCAAGTTCTGCTGCAGCCTGTTGACGACCAATTTGCTCGACTCGGGTGACCTAAAGTGAGGACACATTTTGAAAAACACCTTTTTCATGTTACAAAATGGTAGTTCATCCCTGAACTTCAAGTCTGGACCAAACTGTGCATTTTTGGCCGTCCTAGATAAATCTCTTGTTGTGAACAGAATCGTGACAAAAAATGGTGAACATGAGGGAAAGGTTTGTGTCCTGCCAATGTGACCAGCTCGTGACAGCTTAATGAGCACTCTCATGACCAAAGGCAGCCTCCAACAGTCGTCAATCACTGCTTGAAACCCTATGACTCATGTCTGCAATCGACCAATGAAAATACATGCAGGGAGTGAGGCAAACAACTAGAGATGGGAGTACAATACGAGAGAAGAATTAGCAACGGTGGAAGCTCTACACAGGAACATGTGGACCACTCCTTTTTGGATTTCGGTTTGGAGTCCAATAAAAATCCAAACATGTGTCGCTCCACAGATGTTGAATGACCAAGCACTACTAGAACAGGGGCTTCCTAGTCAATTTTCAAGAAACTCCTGAAGACCCAGCTCTTCAGAGAGCATCTTCTAAACTAGCACCCTCCCAGCACCCGCCCCCCTCTCTACTGCACACTCCTTATTCGCCTCACTGCCACCTAGGATTGACTGAAAAGTGTTTGTTGTTAGCCTCAAGGGTAACCTGCTGGCGACCTGTAAGTCGCTTTGGACAAAAGCGTCTGCTAAATACATAAACATAAAAAGTGTTAACAGCAGCATTCTTTCTCTCTTTTCAGCATTGTTGTTTTGGTCAGCTGTCGGCTTTTAGTGGCGTATGCTTTTCAGGGGGTGCGCTGGTGATGTTAGTTCATCTTGCTAGACGTCATAAAGTTTGGCTCACTGAAATCTTGGGCCATACAGTGTGCGAGAGTTCTCACAATGTGTCACGGGCAGTGCGACAGCCGAAAAACACTGTGTGGTCTGGTCTTTAGCCACTGACTAGACCTTGTGTTAAAACCGATCTGTCAGCTGTTAGGTAACATCACGGCACCATCATCCTCCGACGCTCCAGTCTCATTTTGAGCTCTGAAACCAGAGCTTTGTTCATAGTGTCTTGTCGTTCCAAAAGTGGTTTCTTTCTAGGTTTTGGTGCCACTGCTGCAGAAACCGTCGGTACAGTCCAGTGCCGCTCTCCGTGGAAGTAGCTGGGTGGTGGAGGAGGGAGGGAAGGTGCACAGGGTGGTGGAGGTGGGCACCAGTGCCTCACCACATTGCTAATGTTGTTATTGTAGTTGACATTCTCCACAATGACCTCTGGCTCCATCTCGTCCTCTTTGATTCTGAATTTCTCTCTCTGGGTTTCAGACTTCCTGAAGGGGTTTCTGAAGCTCCAGAGGTTCTGGCTCCGTGGTCTCCTCCGCACGCGGCGGTTGGGCAGAATCCGGTTGGACCTTTTGTTGCGCATGAATGTCGCAGTGGAAATGATGATTGTAACAATGACCATGAGGCTAATTAAACCAACAAGCATACCTATGATTTGCATTGGGTTGTTTCTGTTAATTAAAAAAGATCCCAAAGGCCCCCCCTTGAGATGAGTCTGTAAAAGAGCACAAGGAGAATTCATGTCCATGGGACAGAAATTGCACAAAGATTTCTCTTAAATGATAATGTAACGTATAAAAGCTGAAGAGAAAAAAACATTTTATCAACAAGATGATTTTCACATAAAATGTATTTTTTTACAGTTCAAGACAAGATCAGAGAGGTTCTTGGAGGAACCCAAAGATGAGATCATTCGAAATCCAAAATTAAAAATATGAATATCAATAAATCATCAAATCCAAAATGAAGTATTTTATCATTTTCTTTTGGGGTCATTTTATGTGCATGAAATCAAACTTTTAGGCAAGAATAAAGCAAATTTTGAGAGGATATTGTGCTCCTGCATGTACTCTTTTACAGACACAGTGATGTTCCACTACAGGATTCTTTGAAATTGACTAGCCACAAATTCTTGGTACCACAGAGTAAAAACAACAGTACTGTTGTGCCAATGATCTCAAGACAAGCTTCATTTATGGCACAGGCCTCCGTACAATCTTTCTGATCTTGCCCTGAGGTTGCACGCGGGTCTTTTTCACAGATTTCCAGTAGATAACAGTTGAAATGAAGATTGTCAGTGAAATAGCGAAGGTCACAAGGGTCAAACAAATCCCAAACACCGCCCCTGGACGTTTCCGTAGGCCCAGGAAGTATGAGAAAAATCTGGATTTGATCTGCAAACATCACAATTGCACTTGTGAGATATATACTGTAGGGCTGTAATCTTTCAATAATTATTGTAGATCTAGCAGTTTTCAAACAGACTGACATGTGCATACATGTACTTATCTGTTTTTCTTTAAAAAAATTAATTTTTAAACATCTGAACAACAGAAACTTCCATGTGTAGTTTTCTTACACTTCTTAAAAACATGAGGTTTATGTTTTATTCATTATTCACTCAGCCTTCTTCACACATAGAAGGATATTTAGCAAAGTTTGCTGTTTTAGCCTATTGCCCATGCTTTCAAAAAGACAAGAAATTAATGGTAAAGGCATTAAATATTATCAGCGCATTAATTTTCACAGGTAACATCTTTTTTTCACTTAGCTTTGATAAATAACTTTGATATAACTTTATTTAGTTGTTTTGCTGGTTGTGTTCATCGACATATGTGTTATGCATTTATGCACTGTAAAAAATAATTGTTGATTTTACTTAACCAAAAGATGTCATCTGCATCCACGACAACTAGCTGCTTCAATAAAAAAATACTATACACTGTTATACGTTTTACAAACACTGGTATAAACAGGTGATTTCCTTATTAAATTACCTTAATAAATGAAAGCAAAAATGTATTTGAACACACACCATTGTAATATTTACTTAATAAAGTTATATTAACTGGTTTCACTAAACCTAGTTGCTTAACTGTAAAGAGTAATAAAACATTTAATTAAAAAACACTATGTATAACAATATATATTATGCTTCACAAGGTTTAGTGGAACCAGTTGAAATAACTTTATTAAGTAAATTCAACAGATTATTTATTAGAGTGTATGTCTTAGCTCCTACTTACAGCCTCTGTGATGTCGATCTTGACCACTGCAGTGGTGCTGAATGAAGGCTGTCCTCGGTCTCGGGCCTGAACCACCAGGGACCAGCTGCAGTCTCTTTTCTTGGTAATGTTCTGTATGATGGCCATCGACTTGATGTAAGACTTCAGCTTGATTTCTCCCGTGTCAGTGTCGATATCAAAAATGTTGTTGTCTGGCTCAGCCTTCATGATGGCGTACTCAATCACATTGTTTGGGATTTCTGCGTCGTCATCTACAGCCTGTGGAAGAAGACTCAATTAAACATTTAATGATACATGTACATTTATTTGCAACCTAAAAACCACGCATACCTCTATTTTCACCGGTGCTCCAATCACCATGGTCTTCTGAAGGAAGTTATTGTTGAAAGCAGGCGGATGATCATTCAGATCCAACACAGTCACAAAGACTTCAGCCAAATTGTACTTTCCCTCAGCATCTTCTGCCTTCACGTAAAAGTTGTACTTGGATTTCACTTCAGCATCCAGGCTGGCCCATGGCTGGGTGTAAATGATCCCAGATGCAGGCTGGATCAGAAATCTGTAAATAATGATGTCATGATGGTAATTAACAACCTTTTAACAATCAAATCTCCAAACCAGACATCTAAAAAAATTAAAACCAGGTGACCCAAAAGGGTTCAAATGACCTGCAGGTGACCTGCATTTTCGTGTTCAACATTACAAATAAAAAACTGAGATTATGGTGAAAAAAGCGACCTCATAAGCTCACTCTCTAGAGGATGAAGCAACAAACTGATTGAACATCCATTGACTCACTAATCTAATTAACACCTTATAACAGGGGATACAACATGAGTGTTTTCATCCCTAAATACTTTCTTTTTATAATTTGTTGAGGTGCAAAAGTAAAAGTAAATGAATGTCTAAGAATGCACTGTAAAATAAAAAATGTTGACCAAGTTGCTTCGTCTCCTCTCCCCCTGCCACACCTGGTGTGGAGTGTGGTGCCTTGGTCTGCCTGAATGTTCGTGGCTCCTGGGTCAGGGGGTTTAAGATTTTTGGCGTCTGCCTGATCAATCCCGGTGGCTGTCTGGTGGGGTCTGGGTCCCTGGGCTCTGCTGGGTCCCCGGCGGGGGTGGTCGCCCCTGGGTCCTGGGTTCCGGGCTCGGCCGGCTAGGGGGTGGGAGGCTGCGGGCGGGCCTGATATCTCCAGGGACTCTGCCGGCTGCTGGTTGTGGCCCCCCCACCCCGGGGCGATCCTCTGTGCCTCTCGAGGGGGGCGGGGGCCTTTCTGGTTGCAGTCTCCTTGGGGTTCCTGTTTTCTGGGGTGGTGCCTGGATCTCTGGGACTTGGAGCTGCCCACGTCTCCTACACATCTTTGGGGGGCAGATCTGTGGTCCCTCACACTCTCTATTGGACGCTTTTATAGAGAAACCTTACATATACAAGAGCGTGTACACACACAGGTGCTCACATGGTGCTCTCAAAAGTATGGGCTTGGGCACGTTCAACACAGGTCTTAAAGCTGTCGTTGCCACTAAATGCACTGTGATTTATTATCGTGTGATTGTTCAGTTAAACAATGCTGATTGTATATTTCTTCAAGTTGACGCAGTGATAGCTTTCTCCTGTTGTATTGTTGTGTGTCCCATTTTTTCTCTTCTTTCTCTTCCTGCAGGTCTAGAAGCAGACTCTTGTTCATTATTGTTTATTTTTGTGGACCCCCCACAACCCTAACCCTAACCCTAACCCCCCCCCCCCCCCCCCCCCCACCCCCACCCCCACCTTTTGTCTTTTCCTTTCTCTTTCCCCTCTGACTCCGTGTCTGGTCAGAATTAAAAAGCATTCAAAAACAATAACAATAAAGTTTTAAGTATCAGGCGTGACATTAAAGGCAGACGCATCGATGCTCCACCTGAGAGTAAATCTGTAAGGCTTGTCACCAGCATTCAAACTTCAATTCTGTTTTCTTCCCAGTCAGACAGGACACGGGGGAAAAAAATAGATTAATAAACGAATATGTTGACCAAGTTATGTCAACTGGTTCCACTAAACCTTGCTCATTAAATGTAAAGAGTAATATACAATGTTATATTTTGTTATGTCAAAAGTAAACGTAACAGCAACTAGGTTAAATTGAACCAGACATAACTTGGTTAAATAAATTCAATATTTCATTTATTAGAGTTTAGATTTTAACACAGAGCCCCATGTAAAATAATAATAAAATAAAATCACATAAGTTGTTTAAATAATTAATTTTCCTTTAAAGTTGTGTTTTACTGTCTCATCCTATCAGTTTTAACTGATAAATTAACATTGATCTAGAGACTTTTTTTGTTTAGCCACTTGTTTGGTTACTCTGCACTGATGTTTCTGTAGTACAAGGTACCCAGAAGCAAAGAGCAGTCTATTTTCTCCTCCAATCCTATTAAAGGATTAAAACGGACAGAGGGTAAGCCAGCAGAGATACTAACCGTGTGGCACTGTGAACATGCAAATGTTCCACAAAAATCTGTTTAAACAGCTAAAAAAATATGAAATTCTAAATATTGAAACACAGCCTCCTGTTTAATCTTCAGTGCAGCGTTTTTGAGTATAGGCTGAGGAGACACAAGCTCAAAGTGATTTTGATTAAACAAACACAAACTAAGCTTTAGTGTTCCAAATCTCTCCCTGCTGGTTATTTTGGAAATCCTTCTCCATGCCATGTGACAGCTCATATCTGCTTAAACTCATTACTACTGCAGAGCACAAAACCAGCACCAAATATCCAAAACACTTACCACGTACACACAGCCATTTATTACCAAACAATTTTCTCCTCAATACGGTTTATAGTTTCTAAAACATCAGATCTGGTTTGTTAATGAGCATCAAAAGTTAATTATCAAGAGTTTTCCCTTTTTTTTAACAAGAATGAGAAAATAAGCAACTTAAAGAGATATTACATCCAAAATTGAACTGTTGTCTGTTGACATATTACCCAGAGTTAGATAAATAAAAAAAAAAATCTATATGTCTTTAACCAGACCATTTTCCTGACCCGGCTGTACTCCTTTAGCTTTAGCTTAGCATAAAACACAGTAAGTGAATGGATCCAACTAGCATTGTGAGTACAAAATGTCCTTAAAATCACCCAGGAGTGATCCCAAATCTGCTTGGTGACCTAAATAATCAGACTGACTTCAAGTGGAAATAATTAGTAACATAAACTTTTTGGGGCTGCCTTGCACCTTTCAGCAGAGGCTTACAGCTGTGCTTTGTCAGAAAGTATAGGCTCAAGTCTAAAATGGCGCCTGTGATTAATTTATGTTACTACTATTTTCACTTGAACTCAGTCGGATTAGTTAGGTCACCAGGTGGAATTGGGATGACTCCTGAGTGAGTTTAATGACATTTTTTACTCGTAATGCTAGTTGGATCCATTCACTTACTGTGTTTTATGCTAAGCTAAAGCTAGAGGAGTACAGCTAGGTTAGGAGAATGACTGGGCTGGTTAAAAAGGCTCCACCTGAGAGTAAATCTGTAAGGCTTGTCACCAGCATTCAGACATCAATTCTGTTTGCTTCACAGCCAGACAGGACACAACCAAAAAAAAAAACGCCAAAAAGAAAAAAAAAAAAATATATATATATAGGTGTGTGTGTGTGTGTGTGTTTTCCGACTTATTTAACTGAGAAATACTGTATGTCAACGGACAAAATTTCGGTTTTGGGTACAATATCCCTTTAATTCTGTAAACTTTTACTATCTAAGGAATGGAATGTTGAATTAACTCAACAGGTTATGTGGTTTCAACAAACGTAGTTGCTTAAATGTAAAGAGTAAAATACATTTACTTTTTACACAACAACATAAAACAATGTGAATTACTCTTTACATTCAAGTGACTAGGGGTTTACATAAGTTGGTTAAGTTAATTCAACCTTGCATTTCCTATAGTGTAATCAGAATTTAAATCACAAGGGTGATTTGTGGCTTTAGAAAAATATAAACTGTGGTTAATGGCCCTGAACAGAAAAAAAAACACTCCTCTGGCTTTTCCTGGAAGCTGGATTTCCACTTGAAATTTAAAAGAAAAAATCAAGCATGAAATGGGAAAATTACATCTTTCAGGCCACGAGTAAATAAAGACAAACCAAAATCTAATAAAACAAAACAAACATGCAGCTCTTGATAAGATGTTTTTTCCACTGTCCTTAGGTTTTGGTTAGTTCAGGAGTCAGCAGCTGGAATGTCACTTTAAAGTTTGATTCTTTGTTTTGCTGAATGTTTTTCTTCCCTCCAGAGGAGAGCACAACATGTAGTAAACAGCAAGGATATCAACTGTTCATTTTACAAGGATTACTATTGTTTTTTACTTTTAAAAAGTCCTTTTCAGTGAAATGCTGAAGGCTGCTTTCCTCCAAAAACACAAGCCTCATTTTTCACAAAAACAAATACATAAAGATGGCTAAAGGAAAGTATAGGTAACCAGATACTGTAAGTTACAAGAATCACTGTGCCACTTTATGGGCTTTGTTATAAAAGTGGAATTTCTTTATTTCCTGTCATACTCACAGATCAGCGCCTGATCCATAGATTGAGTATTTAACTTCCCCCCAAGGTCCTGAGTCTGGGTCCACAGCCTAAAGACAAATAGGGACACCACATTAGGAAACAATTAAAACACTCACTTTTAAAGGTGTGGGAAACCTGCTTAATCAGTACATTTGCAGTGGACTCTGGCAGGAATGAATGCCTTGCAAGCCGTACTCGGGACGAAAAAAGCCCAGAAATACCTGCATCAGCAGGGACAAGTCTGCCACATCAAAAGAGAGCTTAACACGGCAGGATTTGGATCTTATTTCCTGATATTTGGACATTTAGCCTCGGATTGGACAACAGCAACGCGGCTCTACTACTGATTCAGGTGTATCTTCTCTACAAATAACTGAAGCCTGGAGGAGCTTCTGCTGTGTGGTTGAGTTGCTAATGCTAACAGTTAGCTCCTGCTAGCCAAGATGTCCTCTACTGATTCTGGACGCTAAACCAACAGCCTTCCCCGTCTTGAGCCAAGATGAGTCCATGCACCCGCTTGATGTAGATTTTTCAGGCTTTGTAATCCCAGAGTTTCACTGTGTGTTTTCAATCAGAAGCTAATGCAGAAAAGAGGCGTAGAAGACTTTTTTCATGTTCAGCACACATAAAAAACTCAGAGTTGCCCATTATAATCATAAATAATCAATAAAAAATTGTTTTTCAGTGAACCACAACTCTAATCTTATTTGAATGCAACTACGAGTAACAACAAACTGCTGGCTACATTTGTCAGAATAACTGAGGAGAACTCAAGGAACACTGGAACATTTGAAGGGTTATGGCTTCAAAACAGTGAATCCTGATGTTGGAATATTATCCTGAGCTTCAGCTAATCTGTCTGTCTGCAGCTGCTCTGATGTCTGTTCACTGTCTCTGTGTGTCCAAGGTCACTTGTTGGCTGGTTTTTCATCTGATTGAAATTGCCAGGGATCAAGGCAAAGAGCCTGGTGCGTGATGTTCACACGGGGGCGAGATATAGAGGTAGACTCCCAGCCTCTGTAGAGCTGATGCGATCTTACAAGGCCAAAGGACGCAAGAACACAAACACTAATCAATTCTGCATGTCCTTAAAAGTGTTCACTTTCCCTTGGGACATATTTTTGTGCTGCAACCGTATGTGCTACCGAGGGTTACAGGGGGGAAAAAGTCAGGGAATTTGCTGTTACACAACAAAATGAAAGTGATAGCCATCTGGCAGCTTACCTCGCCTAGCTTTTATCTACATGATTTCACATTTTATCCCTCCTCCCTCGGCCCAAAGAGTCTACATTTAGAGAATTAACAGCCCTGTTGAGCATTTTGTACAAATCACTTTTACATTTGAGCTCCCAGTGACGTAGGTCAGCGATGACATGTATTTTTAGATGGCTCACCGTGACCGACACTACATTTGAGCCGCCGGGTGAGTTTTCTGGGATTCGGGCGATGTAATAGTCTGAAGAGAATTTGGGCGCATTGTCGTTGGTGTCCAGGAGGTGGATGACAATGTCTGCTGTTGCGCTGAATCTCTCCGAAGTGTCGATCTCAACTGCAAGGAGCTGACAAAACGAGCAAAAATAAGTGTGCTGCAGAAAACACACACTCAAAATATTGCTGGCATGTTGATGAAAAACATGTGGAAATGTAAAATTTCAAACAATCCTTAAAATGAAGAGATTACTTTGTAAGTTAGAAAATGGTGTTTCTCGTAGTCCATGGCTGCAGAGTCTTCCACTAGGATGGTGACTTGGGCCTCATTGAGAACAGTTTGGGGGACAACACGTAACATCCTTCCTGGTCCGATCAGTTTCAGGTTAAACTTAGCATTTGCACCCTGCAAAACCACAATTACATGCATATAAGGTTATTTATTTTTGTGACATTTTACATGATGCACCAGCTAGTTTAAAGGTCTCGTTCACTTGTTTTTTAATACATTTGCAGTGAACTCTAGTCAGTCTCTGTGAAAAAAAGCTGTTTCTGGAAGTAGAAGTTAGTTAGGGCAGTGGGAGGCAGAAAACAGCAGGATTGGATGCCTGGTTCACATCAGACGCGGAAGAACAACGATGCACCGTGAAGCCGTGGAAAAAAGAGCACATCTAATCGACGCCCTTGTTAATCTATGATCTTGATATGATCAGCCACGAAGCACGCCAAAGGCTTGGGACATGAAGTGATCGTTTCAGCGTGTGCTCTATTTTTTTCGCGAGCTGCGTCGATTCTGGCAGGATATCAAAGCAAAACAGAAGAGGCAGGCCAGTAAATTTAACAAAATAAAGACATTTTTCAAAATAAAACACCATGATTGATAAAAGTAATCATTTTTGTGTATCTAAACAGACTAGAGAGATGAAAACAAACACACACACACACACACACACACACACACACACACACACACACACACACACACACACACACACACACACACACACACACACACACACACACACACACACACACAGCAAGGGCGCGGGAGTGGGGAGGTTTTGAAAACAGAAGGCATGAGCAGAAGTGCTCGTCGAAAATTCTTGCCTGATGTGAACAGAAGAGCAGCACGTGAATTTCGTGAGCGATCCTATTCGCAGCTGATGTGAACCTGGCGTTACTCATTATAATTTATGATATTCGGACATCTCACTTCTTATTGGCTAACAGTGACACAACTCTTCTACTGCCTCCGTTTGCTCAACAATACGTTAAAATAATTCAGGCCTGAAGGAGATCTGCTGTGTTGTGGAGTTGCTAATGCTAATGGTTAGCTTCTGTTTGCCAAGAGGCTCTCTCATGTCTCCTGGACGCGAAATCAACAACAGCCTTCCCGGTCGGAAGCCAACAAGTTTACTTCTTTCCACCCCCTTTCAAGCTTTATTAAGTAAATTATTAAATATTCATATTATTACTTAATTTAGGCTTATATCTGTTAAATTACATGTTCCTTGATGCAAAAGATGTATGTGGATAAAGTGAAAGTTGACAGATTTATACAAAATAAGTTACAAAATTGCTTGTCACTTGGACCTACATGTGATATTGTTTTGTTTCTCAAAATAATTTATATATATATATATATATATATATATATATATATATATATATATATATATATATATATATATATATATATATATTATTTGTTAATTTATAATTATGTGTTGCATGACATTTTTGCATTGCAATGTTTGAGTAATATCAGGAAAATTATTTGGATTTAATAATCTAAGTAGTAAAGAGTGCTCTGATAAAATGATCTGAGAAAATCTTTAGAGAACATTATGTACTTGATGTGACTCAAACAAACATTTGCATAAGCTGACAAATGATGTGCACCTTTTAATATGAATTTTTAATTAATGCAATTGTAAGGGGCTTTTCTGAGATAATGGCAGGCTTAGGGTCATTCTGCAGAACTCGAACACGTTTCTGCGACTGATTTAATCCACTTTTGATTAGATAACACTGTGACATTAACAGAAAATTAGGGTTATTGCATAACTAAGCTGCTCAGGCAGATTTCAAAGAGAGGTTTTATGTTTTCAGTGCTAAATGGAAATACTTGCTTCAGATAAACCTCAACATGTAACTTTTTCTACTAAACTAATTTAGATGGCAGTTCTGACCTGATCAGAGTCATTCACTGTGACTTTTAGTCCCCGGAGTATCTCTCCCTCTGGTGGGTGCTCGTACATGGTCAACTCAAACATGTTCTGTGGGCCATTTTCGCCATAAAAAGTGGGTGGATTGTTGTTTAGGTCCATCACACGAATCACCACAGTGGTCACCCCATAATCCATAAGTCTGCCTTCAGGACTTACTTCTGATGCCTGAGAAAAGAGAAAAGATTAAATGTTTTCTGTCAAGTTTTAATTTATTACGGACAACATTAACGTCACTAATAAAAAAACATAATAAATAAACAGATTCCATTTTATGTTTTACATGTTATGTGCAGAAAACAATCTGATATTTACCCTGACTTTAACGTTGAAGACTTCTCTCTTTAGATAATTAGGAGGAATCAGGAGTGTGATACAACCAGTTGTTGTGTTAATTCCAAAAACAGCATCTTCATCTAGTCAGAGAAATACAGGTAATATAACTGCATTTACACAGTTTTTTTTATTAATTCAAACGTTTTCATTAGAATAAAGTCAGACCTTCATCTAATGAGTAACGGATTGGATTTGGGTTTCCCACATCGCCATCTTGAGCAGAAACAGTAAAAATTTCAGATCCCTGAGAACAGACAAAAACACCGGCTGAAAAGAGAATCAAACAAATGGAATCATTTGGATCAAGTTATTTATCATTTGCATTTAAAAATTATTCTTAGATTTTTATTTAATTTTCTTTACGTCTTCAACAAAAGCAGATGTTAGACATTAAAATCAATTGTTTCAGTTTTGTTTGTTTGCACAGCGATGCCGATGCCAGCATAAGCATTGTAGAATAAAAAACAATCATCCCCAATGCAGATCCCCGTTAACTGGTTAAAAACGGGCAATTAGAGAATAATTCTGGATACAATTTGGAAGCATCAGGATAATTTGCAAAGTCTCAAAGTTTGCGAAGCCTTCGTTAGGTACAAATAATTAGACTTCTATAATGCAGTAGCTCATGTAATATTTAAGTATCAAACACTATAAAACAACAACAAGCATATTTCTGCCATTCTGCAGGCGTCGGGAGATGTGTCATCGCCACTATGTGCTCAGATCGTTCTTTGGTTCCTAAACCAACAAGACATTGGTGGTGGAAGACTGAGATTTTTATGGCAAATATAGACTTCCACCTCATCATTGTGCTTTGGATCTTAGGAAATACGATTATTGTTTGAAGAAGACTTGTCCAGATAAAAATCTTGTGACTCAGCGGAAAGTCAAAGTCTTTGGCAGACAGTGTTCATTTTGACAAGAAATCTGCAAAAATGTATTTGTCAAAAATAAAATCAATAAATAAATTAAACAAAAATATTTCCCCAACAAAATTAACACCAAAGGGAGGCGTCATCGTACTTACTGGTGTTGAGATTTCGTAAACGTAGCCAAAGTAGGGTGTCCCGATGAAGGATGGAGGGGTGTCTTGTGCATCTATCACGTTGATGGTCAGGGTAGCAAAGGATGACAGAAATTGCTCTTTGCCATTAAAATTGCCACCACCATCCTACAAGAATGAAAGTGTTTAAATATTATTACGTAATATTTATAATATATGCATGTGTTTGTTTCTTCTAATTATCCATCTATCCATTTATAGCAGCTTAACAGAGATGGCTCGACTTTCCTCTCCCCAGCCACTTGGGCCAGCTCCTCTAATTCACTAATTCTAAGGTGATCCTTGGCCAGCCGAGAAACATAGTCCCTCCAACTTGTCCTCTGGCTCCTCTTGATGTGGAGCTCCTCTTGGACGACCAAGCTTCTTACCCTATCTCTAAGGGAAAGCCCAGCCCTGCAGAAAAAAACTTAATTTGATCGCTTGTATCCGCGATCTCTTTATTTCGGTCACTACCCAAAGCTCGTGCCCAAAGGTGAGGGTTGGAACGTAGGTTGACTGGTAAATCAAGAGCTTTTCCTTCTGGCTCAGCTCTCTCTTCACCACAACAGATCGGTACAATGCCACCATCACTGCAGATGCCGCACCAATCCACCTGTCGATCTCACACTCTAGCTTTCCCTCACCCCGAGATACTTAAATACCTCGTCTCTGACATGATGAAGGCATTGTACCCTTTTACAAGTCTTTCAGTGAAATATAGATAATTTTTATTTTATAGTTCAATGTTTTGTTTGTTGCTGGTCCATTTGGAAGTTTTACTGTAGATGGCAAAAATCAGCTTTGAATTCCTCCCTGAACATTTGCATTGACTAATGACAACTCCTCAAAATCCCACTTCTAAAAATCCAAACTCCCCTTTTAATGTGTCATGATGCACCTACCTTTGCAATGATTGTGACAAAGTGTGTCTTTGTTTTTTCATAATCCAGCATTTCTCCGAATTTGATACGTAGGACACCACTGTGTCTGTCAATGGCAAACATGCTGGACTGAGGCGACTGTAACATAAAACAGCACACACAAAAAAAAAACTGCTGAATTTCAAAACCCCCAATAAAGCTACAATCAGTACAGCAAAACCAAAGAGGGTCAGCTGGTTTCACAAAAATCCTTTCTCTGCCATTTGATTTAGGCCAATTTCTCTTTATCTCTGCCAATCTACATGAATACATCTCTATACGCTTATGAACATGGTGGTGAAATCGTCTGTGACCACATGTGAACTCCCCTTCTCACGGCACACTGTCACAACCAAGACTGCTGTTCTACAGCTAGCTCAAACCAGCACACCCCACCACCCACTGCCAGAACAGCCCTCTAATCCATCAACACCTGGCATAAATGTAATTGTGATGTAATCCCTGTCTCCTCACTGCACCTAATTCGAGCAATTGAACAAATTAATAAAATGACCAGAAAATCGGTCACATGATTATGTCACAAATCAACGTTAAACGGTCTAAAGGAAGCACACACTTTGTATTTACCAACACTTTTGTATTTACCTGCAGATAGTAGGTGACTGAGCCTCCTGAGCCTGTGTCTTTGTCCACAGCTTCCACTTTAAAGATGCTACTTCCAGATTCAGTCGTCTACGTTGGATCACAGGAAGATTTAGAGGAGATGAACTTCACATGATCGAAGTCAGATGGTGTCTAAATGTGGGTTTCTGGAAACTCTTTTGGAAAATACTTTTATGAAGATTATTCTCTCTTAACTTACTTCCAGTACGTCAATAATTGCTGGCATGTTTTGGAAATCTGGTTTTTCGTCATTTGCATCCATCACAAATATAGTAACTCTTTCCATGACCTAATGAGAAGAAAAAAAGAAGCCTATCACATCTTAGAAAAGTGGTTTTGATGTTGCTGCTGATTTTTTATTCCTTAATTTGTGTAGGAAACCTTGCTTCTTCCATCTGTGATGCTGATTATGACATCAATTGAATCTTGCTTCTAAGTAAGGAAAGGAAAAATATAGATTTATAACTTTCAAATAGTTTGTTGTCTAATTTGTGCAGTTGTAAAACATTTACCTCTCTGTCCAGCTTTTCCACTAATGTAATATTTCCAGATCTCGGATCAACCCTGAAGTATTCTTTTGACCCAGGGTCAAACGATAGGCCATACCTCACCTCGTGGCCTTCTGGATCTGTGCCATTGAGACAATAGATCTGTGTTCCTAAAGAACAGCATCAAAATAATCTCATCAGATCAGGTCATGGATGTCTTTTAGATGTTAGTTGTGAATTAAAATGCCTTTTCACAGTAAAGTTGCTCTATAGGGTCAACACATCCACATCAACAGGTGGCTGCAGCGGATGAGCATGTTGTTGTAAAGTACACACGTGCCATCTGTTCATCTATCAAGCACTATTTCACTTTTTAAACCTTAAAAAATAAACATCAAATAAAGAACAAAACAAAGACTTTTTCTACTTGGTTCTTCCACAGCCCAATCTGTGAATTTCCATAATGGTGTTCAGTCTCACCAACAGGCATGTCCTCTGAGAGGCTGAACAGGGCCAGGTTGCCATTGTTGCTGTAGGGTCCGTTGTCATAGAAATATGGTGCAAAGTCTGCCTGAGCTGAGGAGAGAGGCATGAATCCATCAGGTTTTGTGTATTTTTTGTTGTTGTTGTTGTTTTTTAAATAAATCTAGTTTAGGCAAAACATTAAGACTAGAATATCAGTTAATCAGTGAAGTTCACAATATTTTTATTTAGTAAGTCACATTTTCACTTGTCCAACTTTAAATACTGACCCAATATGCTGGAATTCACAACACACACATCCAGTTTTCGTATCTGTCTGGGATTACAGGTCAGTTACATAAACCTGCTAAGCTAACTGATCTATACATAAACCCCACATGATTTTCTTAGCTTTTTTTTTCTAAATGTATTTTACTCCAAAAAAACCCTTCTATTTTAAATATAGGCTAAATGAAAATCTGGTACTTTATCATTTTTGCTTTTAGACACACCGAAAATTAAATCCAACGGACAAAACAACTAATGTTTTGAAACGATCCTACTACAAGTCCTAGATCTGATCTGAAAACCATCTCAGATCTAATACGACTACAATAACAGCCAACTTACCGAAGCAGGCATGCACAAACACAAAAAGCAGTGACAAATTTAAAATCCTCTCATTCTTCATCCTAAATGATAAAAGTCGTGAAACTGCACCATGAAGACGGCTCTGTCGAGGCTTCTCTACATTGGACCTGGCTCTCAAGGTGTTTTGCGGTCACTGTAGAAGGCTAAAAGCAGATACTTACATGCTAATCCAATGACTCTTAAGAATTACTCCCGACCCCCCTTGGCCCAGTTGGCTTCATAAAGAAGAAATTCTCACAAGATGATTCAGTCATAAACTACAAGAAGATTAGTACTTTGTTAGACACGCATAGTTGTATGACAACTAATATCTGCACAATTTAAATCAAGTATTGCATCATTTTTATGAAAGATGTACATCTCTCTATATAAAATAGTAACTTTTTTAGTTTTGAATTCATTTAGTCAAATATATTGTGTTATTACAAACGTATTTATTAGAATATTCACCTTATATGTTTTTATTTTAACTGGTTTAACTTGAGACCCCAGATAAACAAACAAACAAAAAAAAACCAAGATGTAGCTTTTTTCTTGTATACGAGTAAAGGGACTAGAGGATTATAGTTGAGTGAAATGATACTTAAAGGGGACCTATTATGCAAAACTCATATTTTGCATCCATTTGTGCTGCCATGGGGGTCTCTACTGCCTCTATTAACACTTAGAATGTAAAAACAATCTGTCCATCTATTTTGTGTTTTAGGAAATATGTGCCTACAACAGACTGTTTGAAAAAGTCCCTTTTTGTGATGTCACAAACTGGGAGAGTAGAAAAGAACCCCCTCTCATATTCATTTTTTCTCTTCCGGCTCTTGGAGAGTACAGACACTTTTTTCTCCTCTCCCTCCCTCTTATCCCAAGGCTCTTTGTCCTGTCTTGTGTGAACGGCACTTCTGCATTTTTTCTGGAAACTGGAAATGATTGAAAATGGATCTGGTCAGCTGGTCACTCAACGCGATTGAAAAAACTTTTTCAACGATGAGAAGGGGAGAAGGGGCTCCCGGATGTCCCTCTGGGACAGAGCCAGCTGGGTATATCATGGATTCCTGGAAACAGTGGAATCTGTTATGCCTCTCTCAACTGTCTGTAGAGGATTCTGAAGATGTCTGGATATTCGTCGTTTTGGTGTCGGGATTCCTGCTGTTTGGCCTGAGCGGTTACCTGGCACCGGAAAATTAACGAGCTTTCGAGGAATATTGGCTCAATCCCGGAGCTCAGGGATGGAATGCACTGCGCTGTGAATGCACAAACTCATTTAATTGTCGAGATGAGTGGTAAGCTTGGAACTTTGGATGAGATTCAGGCTCTGGCACAGAAGGTGGATTCCATCAAGGACAGAGTTATGGACGGATCAGTATGGATTGGGATAGATTAATTACGCCATTATTGGATCTAGAGGGGTTGATGACCAACAGAACTCTAAGGCAGAGAGAAAATTATTTCTGTCTGTCCCCAAAACAATTTTTATTTGAATCTGGTGCCCTTGAGCCTGTTAGGCTGAAGTAAAAACTCCCTCCTCAGAAGAAATGTGGAATGCTGCCATCGCTAGGCAACTCTTTCTCACTCTCCCAGCCTGGGCGGGACTGTGACCGGTGAAGGCCGTGGAACCGTATCTAGGAGTCACTGTGCTCTCCAACCCATTAATCTCCCTCCCCTGTTCAAATGGAGGTGATAAGCACTGCTCCATGCGGCTGCACGCACCGAAGTGAGGAGAGTCCCAACCCACCTAGTGGACACTTATGTTGTGTAATGTCTGAAGTGTGTGCACATCTGTCTGAGGTGTTTTTTTTTTTTTTTTTTTTTTTTTGCATAGCAAAGCTGCCCTCTCGGGTGAGGGTAATGCTGAAGTGCCTTTTTTCCCTCCCCCTGACTCTATCCTCATATAAACCCTCTTGATCTATTACAGTAGCGCGACTCGAGTTGTGAATGACCACAGTCACCAATTCTTGTCATGTACATATGTATGTATGTCTGATCTCAGAATTGTGTGTACTGAAACTCTAATTTCCTTCTGGGATTAATAAAGTATTATTGAACTGAATTGAATTGAAAAGACAGCTGTTGTTGGAGGAGCATCAGCTTCACTCCAAACCCCTCCCAGTTGCCAGAGCTTCACAGCTTATAGCAGCTTGAGCGGGGGATGAGTGGGCGTGGCCAACTTCAGCTTGTTTTCTTAAAGGTACAGAGCCCTGAACAGCTCATTCTGGAAGCTACTGAAACAGTCAATAATTAAATAGCTGAAATTGCTTCATGTGAGACAGTTTTATAGCAAGGAACGTCATGAACATGTTTTGTATCGACCATAGAACTAATATAACTTAAGAAAATACATTTTGATGCATCTCATTTTATATTAAAGCATTTTTCATTGAAAAAAAAACTCAAATGCCTCAAACAAATTGACATTGCGTTTTTAGAGGAATCTAACCCAAGTCCATGTATTTTCTGCAAAAGCCCTAAACTCAAACCATTTAAAGTTTGTATCTGATTTTATTTTTGTGACTTAAATATATGAATTGTAATAAATATGCATGCACAGTTATTGAATGAACCACCAAATAGTTACCGAGCGCGGCTGTTTCTGCAGCTCACCACTCCCCACGGGGATGGGCCAAATACAGAGGACAATTTGTGTGTGTGTGTGTGTGTGTGTGTGTGTGTGTGTGTGTGTGTTTGTGTGTGTGTGTGTGTGTGTGTGTGTGTGTGTGTGTGTGTGTGTGTGTGTGTGTGTGTGTGTGTGTGTGTGTGTGTGTGTGTGTGTGTGTGTGTGTGTGTGTGTGTGTGTGTGTGTGTGTGTGTGCCGGCTCTGTCTTCTCGATCCCCAGTGAGTCGTGGAGGATGGCTGCTTATACTGAGCCAGGATTCTCTGGAGGTTTCTTCCTGTTAAAATGGAGTTTTCCTCTCCACTGTCGCTGCATGCTTGCTTAGTATGAGGATTGCTGTAAAGTCACTGACACTCGTCAGTGACTTGATGCAATTTGCTGGGTTCCTTATATAGGACACATTATTTCTGATTGGCTTAATGAACTGTGAATTGGATTGTTTATTATGTGAAGTGCCTTGAGACGACTCTTGTCGTGATTTGGCGCTATATAAATAAACTTGAATTGAATTGAATTTTCACCACACCGCACCAGTGCGTCTGTGACAACTATGGGCCTTTAATCTTTAATGTCTAATTAAACACCTTTTATCAAAGCTAATTCAAAATTATGAAAACATGATTTTTATTGAGATATTGAATTTACAAGCCAAGTAGTAGAAGCATGTTCTGTTCATTCATTCATTCATTCATTCATTCATTCATTCATTCAGTGGTTAGAGTCCGCCCTGGGATTGGGAGATGGGTTCAAAACCTGGTCGGGTCATACCAAAGACCTTGAAAATGGGACCCAATGCCTCCCTATTTGACACTCAGCTTTAAGGTGTTGGATTAGGGGGTTAAACCACCAAAATGTTCCAGAGAGCAGCTCACCGCTCCCCACTAGGATGGGTCAAATGCAAAGATGTAATTTCATCAGTGTGCGATGATAATTAATGGGACTTCACTACATAAAGTAGAAAGTATTGAAAAACTTTTTTTCAGACGGAGTATCTTTGACCTTCAGCAGCAGTCTAAATCCCAAACAGAATGTGAGAAACTCCCTCAAACCGACCACATTTCTGATTTCTTGAGACCAGGCACCTGTTACATCCGTGTGCTGTGGTTAAAGTCAAGTCCGTACCTTCAGGGTTTTTATTTTCATGATGCTGGCAGATGGCAGGCCTGAAGATTAACCCACTGTGCTGTAATCTCGCCTCATCTTGTAAAGCACAGAGCCTCCCTGGGGAAACTCTGGCTACATCAGACGTAAAGTCAAAGCACAATTAGCGCACAGATAGCTGTCATACAAAATAAGTAAGAAAGGGCAAAAACAAATGATCATGATGTTTCTGTTGTTTTGTTGAAGCAAATGTGATTTTTAAAATTTCTAAACTTTTTGATGCAAAAATATTCTGCAGTGAAGAACGTTCAAGAACACATGGATCCTCAAATGAAAGCTCACTTCTCATCTTTGGTCATCTTCTTAGTTTCTAATCCCATGACTTCAATCACCAGAGCACATGCTGATCTCTTGTCCTCTTGGTGATGAAGCCATTTCCCCATCGGAGAAACGTCAGAGCGATGTTTATCTTTTCAGCATATGGCTACATGTGCAGCGTTCGGATTAATGTCCCAGATACATGTGGATGATCCTTGATCTGCCTGTAGGTGCACTCAGTTCAGAGATCTTTATTCACTTGTGCACGTTAGTGTTGAAAAAGTGTATCCTTTGCAAAAGGACACACAACCTTAAAAGGTTTAGCAGCATCATGAAAACAATCTAAACCCAAGAAATGAAGAGCAGCAGAGGATGAGATGGAGCATAGATTTGTTTCTGTTGCAAACAGAAAAGACAAGAGGAGAACATCTGCCTCTGAGACTAAAATAAATCAATGGAGTTCAGTTTAAAAAAAATCAATCGGCTCTGCTTCAGTGGTGAATCTCGTCGTCCACCCGTGAAGAGTCCTGCCTGAAGCTTTACAGCTGCAGTCAATGTGAAACACATCTGCGGCCATCACTAATGCAGATCGTTTGCTTTTCTGTCTGTAGTAATAAAATTAATGACTTGCCTTTTTTGATTATGAATTCATAATCTCATTTAGAGCATCCTGAGCATGACTTTTTTAAATGTTCATGCCTTTTACTTGCTGTTATTTAAGTTAAACACTATGAATGAGTGACAGTGTCTCAGGGGTTAGGAGCTCACCCCTGAAACCAGTGGGTTCCCAGTTGAAACCCAGGGGTCATCAAAGGCAGTTGCTGTGTCGTTGGGAAAGACACTTTATCTGCCTTGCCTACTGTCAAAGGGACTGGTGATGCCTGTGTCTGACTGCCTCTCTTTGGTGTGTGTATGTGTGTGTAATTTAAGCAGACTCGTCTACATAAGTAGAGCTACATGGATTATTTATATGAGAGAATGTTTTTCGTAACCAGATGTTGATTAACTCTGGAAGATTACATTATTTGTCAGACTTTTCCAGCACGTTCCTGGCTGCTTCTCAAGGTGGGATGTTAACAAGAGCTGTT